CCCCCCCCCCACACCCCTTTCAGTAACCCTCAGTTTGTTCTCCGTATTTATGAGTCTCTTCTGTTTTGTCCCCCTCCCTGTTTTTATATTATTTTTGCTTCCCTTCCCTTATGTTCAACTGTTTTGTCTCTTAAAGGCCTCATATGAGTGAAGTCATATGATATTTGTCTTTCTCAGACTAATTTCGCTTAGCATAATACCCTTCAGTTCCATCCACGTAGTTGTAAATGGCAAGACTTCATTCTTTTTGATTGCCGAGTAATACTCCATTGTCTATATATACCACATCTTCTTTATCCATTCATCCATCGATGGCCATTTGGGCTCTTTCCGTCCTTTGGCTGTTGTCGAGAGTGCTGCTATAAACGTGGGGGTGCATGCGTCCCTTCGAAACAGCACACCTGTATCCCTTGGATAAATGCCTAGTAGTATAATTGCTGGGTCATAGGGCAGTTCTATTTTTAGTTTTTTGAGGAACCTCCATACTGTTCTCCAGAGTGGCTGCCCCAGCTTGCATTGCCACCAACAATGCGAAAGAGACCCTCTTTCTCCGCATCCTCGCCAACATCTGTTGTTGCCTGAGTTATTCATGTTGGCCATTCTGACAGGTGTGAGGGGGTATCTCAGTGTGGTTTAGATTTGTATTTCCCTGAGGATGAGTGATGTTGAGTATTTTTTCATGTGTCGGTCGGTCACCTGGATGTCTTCTTTGGAGAAGTGTCTGTTCATGTCTTTTGCCCATTTCTTCACTGGATTATTTGTTTTTCGGGTGTTGGAGAGAGGAATATTTTAATAGCCTTTTCAGAGAGTTGGGGATATTTTCTGATACTGCACCTAAACTCAGCAAGGGGTGGTTTCTTAAAGATTAGTATGATGGGGAACTTGACCCTGTAGCAATGAGTTTTTCATGCATCAGAATCCACTGGTGCAGGAGTGCCTTGGTGGTCCAGTCAGTTGAGCATCTGATCCCAGGGTCATGGGATCGAGCCCCGCATGGGTCTTCTCACTGTGCATGGAGTCTGCTTAAGATTCTCTCTCTTCTTCTCCCTCTGCCCCTCACTCTGGCTTGCGTGCTCTCTCACTCGCTCTCTCCCTCTCTCTCAAATAAATAAATAAATAAATAAATAAATAAAATACAAATACATTTTTAAAAACCCTGTCCATCTTGCACTTTGGATGGATTTTTTTTGTCTGTGCAAGATTGTGTCACATCATGCATCCACTGATCATGTGGAAACCATTATTTCATTGAGTTATGCAGATCTTCCAAATGTTGGCACATTTCATCATAAGATATCAAAACGTCGCATTTGTCAATCTCACCACTACCCACGGAAATATTAGGAAGCTCTCAGTTGGACGTTGTCCGTAATTCTAACTTTTACCGGAAAACCTGAGTTTTCTCATTGGTAACAAATACTCAAGTGTTCCCTGAAGTGACAACAAGGTCACTTCATTTTTGTGAAAATGTCAAACACTCCAGTCTGAAAGACCATGTTTTGTCTGTCATGCTTTCAAGTAAAAACGATGTTTCATGAAAAAAAAATGGCTACTTCAGCTTGTAACTCGCTTTGGAAGGCACCAGAAGGACTTCATGTGCATTTCACCTTTTGTGCTTGAGATTCAACGGAAGTCATCCTTGCTGCAGCTTTGAGACCGTTCTTAAGTGAAATCATCGCGGTGGAAACAAGACGTTAGGAACACAGTGGCGGTGTCTCTGCCTTGATTTGGGCTGAGGTGCCAGTGTGAACGCCAACCCTAGTGAAAAAGGCAAATGACAGCTTAGCATCATCATAAAAAATCTTTCGGGGGCGCTGGGTGGCTCAGTCAGTTGAACATCTGACTCTTGATTTCAGCTCCGGTCATGATCCAGGGTCGTGGCATCAAGCCCCAAGTTGGGAGAACACCTGTTAAGGATTCTCTCTCTTTCTCCTTCTGCCCCCTCACCCCAACTCATGCTCTCTCTCTCTCTCTCTCTCTCTCTCTCTCTCTCTCAAATAAAAAAAAAATCTTTTCACTCACTGAGTCTCCTTGAAAGGGTCCTGAGGGTGTCCAGAGGTCTATGCTCTGAGAACCATTCCTTTAGATCGGGACCTCTCAACCTTGGCACTCTTGGGATGCAGCTGGCTGCCCTGAGGTTTCTGGGATGTCTAGCAGCATCCCTGGCCTTTGCCCGTGAGATATCAGAAACCCTCCCCCCCAACCCACCGGTGTGAGAACCAAAAATATCTCCAGCTATTGTCACTGCTCCTGGTGGGCAAAGTCATCCCTAGTTGAGAGCTTTTGTGGATTACTATCTCCTATCTACTGCTTTAGATCTTAGGTGACAACAAGTTTCATCTCAGGCCCAGAAGGTTGGGCTGGGAGGGACGTAAAGTCCGCATAGGTTTCAGCTAGATGGCCTATCAGGATTGATTAGCAATGTCTGCCATGAGTGCAGGAAGGGAGTAAGAATACTGTGTGCTAGGGTTGATTAATGATGTCTGCTACAGATAAACAGAAGGTAAAGTGGAGGTGCCTCTGGCCAGGATCCATTAGTAGAGTCTGCCGTAGACACAGGGCTCTCTGTCATCTGGCTGGGCCCTCTCCTTGCCGAGCCTCACTCCATGGGCTCCTCTCCCCGTAGGTGTTCATCGAGGACGTCAGCAAGGAGTTTGTGGAGGAGTTCATCTGGCCTGCCATCCAGTCGAGCGCGCTGTACGAGGACCGCTACCTCCTGGGCACCTCTCTCGCCAGGCCCTGCATTGCCCGGAAACAAGTGGAGATCGCCCAGCGGGAGGGAGCCAAGTATGTGTCTCACGGCGCCACAGGAAAGGTGAGCCAATGGGTGGACGGTGCTGGGGAGGGCTGGGCAGAGGCGGGGGGAACCTGCAAAGGGGACTCGGGAAACCAGGGTGGTTGCAGGCTTCGCCCCCAGGAGAGGCAGGCGAGCAGCGGACACACTCACTGTCCACACTGCCTGTCCAGTCTGAGTAGGACGAATGGTATTCACAGGAGCGGGTACCAGGGCGTAGGCAGCTGGGTGCTTTGGGTCCGTGTGTGTCTTCTGTCTATGGGGGAGCAGTTTGGCGGACTTGACCCTGAGGCTCAGGGCAATCACCCCTGGCCCGGGTCACAGAGCACAGGTCACCATGCAATGTGGTGGAAAGGGCTGGAAACCCCGCATTAGCAAAGCGGGGTGGATCCCACCTGGGTGGCCCCTGTGGGTCTTCGTTGGCCAGGACCGCCGCCCCACAGCGCCACAGGCCTGGTGGCTCCAGCCATAGAAGTGTGTCGTATCACGATTCCAGGGCCGAGGTGCGGGCGGGGCCGGGCTCCCCCGGTGGGGGGGCGGCGAGGAAGGCGTCCATCCAGGCCTCTCCGGGTTTCTATGGGGCCCTCATCTGCCGTCGGGCATGGCTCGCTCTGTGTCCAAATTCCTCCCTTTTATACCACACCAGTCCTATCAGATTAGGGCCCACCCTTCTGATCCCATCCTAACCCCATCACTTCTACAAAGACCTGTTTCCGAATAAGGTCACGTTCTCGGGTACTGAGAGCTGGGGCTTCAACCTGGCTCTTGTGGGGGACACCAGTCAACCCGTGACACACCCCCGCCTTCCGGCCCCTGCGTGGCCAGTGCAGACTGAGGGAGGGGGCCCGGTGGGGGACAAGGCAGGAGAGCCCTCTGCACTCTGTCCCACAGGTGGCCGTGCTCAAGACACAAGATTGCAAGGCAGACAAGTCTTGGGCGATGGTGTCAGCAAGGCTGTGTGGTCACGGGCTCTCAACGTCACTGGACGCCAAACCAGTAGCCCCCCCCGGTACAGGGCTTGGCTCCCTGACAACCCCACAGTCAGCAGACCCTGCCCCTCCCCGCGACAGGGAGCTCACTACCTTCCCCAAGTGCGCTCTGCTAACCTGACCCAGGCCCCGCCCCTGCCCAGGCTGGTCGGGGCAGTGGGAGGGGAAGCAGACTCTGGCTCGCTGTGACACAGGGACACTTGTAGCCTAGATTATGACAGAGCAGACGTGACTTGAGGGTGGCCTTGCAAGCCAGGGTGGCCCTGGTTCCGGTCTACGAGAGCTGATGCGTTCGTTCAGGCGCTTGGGCACGAGGTCAGCAAGCTTATACGGGGGCCTGTGGGAAGGGTTGGACACAAGCCGGGTCTGGCAACAGTATTGAACTTCTGGGGCTCCTCCCGCCCTCTGGGAGCCTGTGTGTCCTAGCAAGGGAGAGGAGAGTGGACAGACAGACAGACAGACACGATAAGGTGGCTGTAGGGGTGGGGCCTCTCGGCCGTGGGGGCAACAAGCAGGGGAGGGAGGCTGATCTCCAGAGCATGGCCCTGCAGGAGGAGTGTGGGTGAGTGAGTAATGGGGTACGGGAAGAGTGTGCCCGGCAGAGGGATCCGCCTGTGCCAAGGCTTGGGGGCACGGAGCCCCGAACAACAGCCCGTCTGGGAGCATCTAGCCAGAACTGTCGCTGTGGGAGGCAGCAGGCTCGGGGCCGGGCCGCGGCCATGCTGAGGGGTTGACTTCTGAGAGCACTTCATCAGGAGGCACGAGAGGGCCCCAGGCTGGGCGGGGGGTGGCCAGCGAGTCCCCCACTGGTGTGTTGGGGATGGTTCTGGACTGAGATGGTGGGAGTTCCTTCTACGGAGGAAGGGGACTGGTGTCTCTCACGCAGACCTGTGACCCTAGAGCCTAGTCGTGAGCGCATGGTGAGCAGGGTGACAGAGCTGGGCTGTTTGCACGGGGATGTGCGCGTCCCCTTCCGCCTTGAGGGCGGTAGGACAGAGTGCACGAGAACCCGGAGGTTCGGGTCGTACGGCTCTCAGAGCTGTAGTGGGGGCTCCTGCAGGCAGAGGAAGGTCAGTGAGAACACATGTCCGTGCGGAATAAAGAAGTTTCGGAGCCGTACCATCTGTCCCGGATGAGCTGAGCTGAGCAGTGAGCTCCCCGTTCTACGAGGCATTTAAGCTGAGACCAGATCAGGATTCTGGAAGGGCTCCTCCCTGGAGAAGATCCCCCCAGGACTGAGGATGGGTGGCGTTCAGGGCTGGCGGAGTGAATGGTGGGTCTGGCCCTGGTGTGGGAGACTCGAGGGTCCAGGGAGAGACCCTCCCTGACACCCCCCCCCCCCCCCCCCCCCCCCCCCCCCCCCCCCGGGGCAACTAACCCCACAAGGCAGCCAGCAGCCACCTGCAGCTGTGCGCACCCTCCGTTTGGCCACAAGAGGACACCAGAGGCTTGGATTTGAGGCCTTCGGGTGAGAAGGTGTGTGCAGTGCTACCCCGGGTCTGCTGTCCCTTCTGGGGGTTGATGGGCGAGGCGTACTCCTGTGCCTTAGTTTCCCCTTATCTGCAGAACCCGAGGAAGCCCCCCAAAGTCTCTGAAGACAATTTCCTAGCCCCGAGAGGTGTGAGTAGAGAGAGCCAGCCAGGAAGGCTTGGGGCCGGGTCCAGAGAAATGCCAAGTTTTTGAGGCAAGGAGCGGGGACAGGGGCCGGCGGCCTGCAGTGGGCACCAGCGATCAGGAGGTGGGCTTTGCGGGCAAGTGAGGGAGGCTTGTGGCCCCAGATGGAGGCACCTGGGCCCCGTGGGGTGTGGCCGGCCACCCCAAAGACAGGTGCCAGAAGGACGCTCGGCGGAGTTTTCTGCAGGGGTTCACGGTAAAGAGAGAGCTGGGGTATAAGCTGCAGCCCCGCCCCCCCTGCAGATGTAGGGGAGATCCCAGCGTGGCCAGTCCTGAGGCTGTGGCCATTTGGAACACCCAGCCGCTGGCCTCTCCCAGCTGTTGGCTCCTGAGTCGCGGATGGAGGAAACTTGTTCCAGCCTCCCGGATAGATGTCACCTTCCCGCGTGTGTCCGTTCACTCCCCGAATACTGATCCAGCACAGGCCCTCCTCCACGCACGGGGACGCTGGTACAGGAGGCGCTCGGGACTTAGGAGCCCTAACCCAGCAGGGGCTGGAACAGGGCGGGAGCAAGAGTTAGCCAGGGATGCGGCGGGGAAGGGCATCCCAGGCTGGAACAGCCCTTGCGAAGGCCTGGAGGCGGGAGGGAGGCAGCTGGGCGGCACCTGGTACTGAGCTGGACCTGGGGGTCCCCCCTCCACGCCCTGCCCTGATCCCTCGCTAGCAGAGAGCTGCACAGAAGCTGGGGTGGCCCTTCCGGCACCCCCCTCACCCCCCCAGTTTTGGAAGAAGGGCCTGGAAATATGAGCCAGACTCAGGCAGGGGTATGGGGAGCAGGTCTGTAAATGGCGCCATCTGTATGGTTAGCCGAGGAACAGATGGGCGGACCCCCCTCCCCCAGCCCCTCCGGGCCCCGTGGGCGCTGCACCCACACTTACGCACACCTGCACGTGTATCAGCGTGTGGACACACATGGCTGCACCCCCCCCCTCCCGCCCTCGGGGCCGCCCTGGTGCCGAGGGTCCTGGGGTTCCAGGGGGAGGAAGGACTTAGACCAACTGGAGTCTTAACCTGGGACAGAGTTTGAAGCAAGGGGGCCCGTCTGGCTTCTGCGAGGGTCTCCGACTGTGGAACAGATGGGTGTCCCCATGTGGGTCTGGACAGGCAGACACCAGCCCGGGTGTGCCTGTCCGAGGAGGCACAAGTGGCCATTGTACTGGGGAAACGTGAAGCCACGGTGGGGGGGTGGGGAAATCACCAGGAGACACAATACCGTGGGCTTCGTGGGCTTTGCAGATCTGAACCGAGCCTGCTTCTTCATCTCCTGCCTTTGCCCCGGGAGCTGTGCCCGCCACGGGTCCTTGGGCAGGCGTGCCACCTGTGCCTCGGTTTCCCCATCTGTCAGGCAGGGACGATACCGGAACCTATCTCAGCTGTAAGGATTCAACGGGTTTAAGTCCGGAGCTCGGACCGGTCGCTGGCGTGTGAGCTGTTGGGACAGAAACGTTGTCTGTCGGCTGCGCGGCCCTGGGCAAGTGGCATCACTTCTCTGAGCCTTGTCAGCAAAGCTGGGTTAACTATCCCCCTGGCCCCAGGCGGCTTTCCCCTGTGGCCGCGAGCACATAGTAGGTGCTCACTACGGGGCTTGGCTGGCGGGCGGGGAGCCGGATGGGCCTGGGAGGCATCAGAGAGGGACGGCCTCGGCCCCTCGGCTCCTGGCTCCGCAGAGAGGGGCTGCAGCCTGTATTTCCACGCCGCCTGACAACTCTCTGGAAAATAACATGTTATTCCCGCCGCTGCCTGGCTGGGCCCGTGCAGTTTTCACAGTAGGCGAAAGGCCCCTCTGTTATTTCCACAGCTTAAGTCCCCCTCTGGGCGCCGAGCTGATGGGAAGCAGGCAGGACGCTGCCAACCATTGTGTCTGCGGCCTTCTCTTCCTCCTCCCCGTTGTCAGCACCCTGGGGTGTCAGATGAGTCTTTATTTTACGCAGGCGCGGAGAGGCAGGGCAACCCTCCCAGGGAGGTGGGCTCAGTGCCCTTGAACTAATTCCTTCTCTTTGGACCTCAGTTCCCTGTCCGTTCAGAGAGGAACCGAGGAGCAAAGAGCCCTCAGGGGTCACCTGGTTGCACCCATTCCCTGCCCCCCCCCCCGGCAATTTATAGATGGGGAAACTGAGGCTCAGAGAGGAGACGGGATTCCCAACTGGATGGATATGAGTCGTCAAAGGACCACGGAGCCCCAGCCCTGGGCTGGATCTCTGGGTGGGGGTTAGATGGGGCCGAGTGGGGGGAAGAAGGCTGAGGTGTGGACAGCTGGGGGCTCCCTAGAGGAGGACGGGGATCTCGGCAGGGCTAGACCCCCCCCCTCACACATGTGTGCACCCCCTGAAGTGTGCACAGACATGATGATACGTGTGCTCGCCCTACCGTGTTCCCAGACAGGTGTACCCCCGTCGGGCCACACGCCCCACACCCACACCGCTGGATTCTAATCTTGACTCCACCTAAAGGGCAGGGGCAGGGGCTTCCTCTCCAGGAAGGAGGCTCGTAACAGTCCCCACCTCAGAAGATCTCGGGGTTGGAGGTGGGCCTGCCCTGAGCAGCCCTCAGGCAGGTTGTCGGCCGTCACACGGTGCCGTCCCTGCCCCCAGCCCCTGTCCTATGGCTCCCGGTGATCCCCCCCCCCCCCCGTTCCGTGTTTCAGGGAAATGACCAGGTCCGGTTTGAGCTCACCTGCTACTCACTGGCCCCTCAGATTAAGGTAAGATGTTGTTCCTCCCCCAAAGGTGGGTGCTGGGGGCTAATGTCACCGGCGGGGGAGGGCAGGGTGTGGAGTTCTGGGAGGTTCCACGGACAGGGACAGAGTGCCCCTGAGTCTCCAGGTGGGTGGTTCCCTTCTTGCCTGGAGGCAGCTGTGCTCAGCTGAGAGGCCACGGCACCCTCTCTGACCATTAGTCCTCCTGGAAGGCACTGCCCAGGGGCCTGGGTAGGTCAGAGCACTGGACAGAAAGACATAGCCGCCCTTTGGCCAGGGTCCTTGGTGCTCCCGGGTCCGGCTTCTCAGTTCCAGGCCGGAACAGTTCTGGGACAATGTTGGCCTGTTCCTACCAGAAGACTCATCTTTTTTACCCAGGGTGGGGCCACCCAGCTAAGGCTCTGGCTGTGCTCCGGCTGCAGCACGAGCCCTGACCCCCACCATCCTGGATCCTTTCCTGGTTTGGAAATCACCTGCCAGGATCTGGGGAATCAGCAAACCCCTGCCCGTGGCCTGTCACCCAGGCATGAGAGCACACATCAGGGCTGTGTGTGGAAGCCCACGCTGCCTCATCCCAGGCTGGCCACCGGGAACCTGTGTCCATCTATCTTATCCTGTTCCCTTCCTCCCTCCCCTCCTCTCTCCCCTTCCTCCCTTCTGCTCCTTCCTCCTTCCTCCTTCTCACCCCTTCAGCCTTCCTTCTTCCTTCCTTCCTTCCTTCCTTCCTTCTTCCCTCTCCTTCTGTATTTACTCAGATCAGACCCTGGGCCAGGCTCAGGCATACAATGATGAACAAGGCTGGAGCCTGGGAGAGCTGTAATGTGCCACCAATGGGAGCCTATGGGTAATTAGCGTTTTCAACAACATCGAAACAAACCGATAAAAATAAGATAAAAAAGCGACGGATGACCTCATTGTAATAATATGTACTGCACGTATGTCCTGAACCCTGTGTACCCAAGTGGTGTCATTTAACCTGCCATCGATGTGAACACATTACTCATGAGATCATTTTCAAGTTTCTGGAATCTTCAAGCCCCTTGTGCTTTGTGGTGGCAGCACATCCCAGTCCAGGACCAAACCCGCGTTCCGGGTCTGGGTAGCCCACCGCGATGGCTCCCGACTGGGACTGGGCAGGACAGAACCTAGGTCTGAGCTCCTTGAGGTCCTTCAGGCTAAAGCTGCAGAAGATGTCTCCTCCTGAGCACTGAAGGAGCCCTCTGAGGGTTCCTTGTTGTTTGTTAAAAAAAATTTTTTTTAATGCTTATTTTTGATAGAGAGAACATGAGTGGGGGAGGGGCAGAGAGAGAGACACACACAGAATCCAAAGCAGGCTCCAGGCTCCGAGCTGCCAGCACGGAACCTGACGTGAGGCTCGAACTCACGAGTCGCAAGATCATGACCTGAGGCGAAGTCGGACACGTAACCGACTGAGCCACCCAGGTGTCCCTTTTTTAAACTAGAACATCTTTCTCTGTCCCTTTAACCAGCCAGCAGCTGCTTGCTGGGTGGGAGTGACCTGGAGGTAAGCTCTAATGGTCCCCAAACACTGGGCAGCTAGGAAGCCCTCAGCAGTGGCTGCTTGCTAGCTTGTCGCAGGCCGGTGGCCATGGGGACTTTCTCTTGACCCCCCCCCCCCGGGTTCCCACAGCAGTTTGGGGGAGGAGGGCAAGGTGTCTGGTTTCTGGATCTCTGTCTGCAGAGGCCGAGCCGAGGGGCTGGGATGGGGTTGAGGGCAGGGGCCAAAGCTGAGATGAGATGAGACCAGAGGGTGCCCCCCATGGCCGAGCCTGTGCCAGGGGCAGCTTGCCATCAGAGGCAGGGGCCTGGCTGGCTCCAGGGCTTACACCCCCAGGCTGATGGGGCCCCCCGTGAAATGAGCTCAGTCCCCTCAGTCAGGCTGTGACTCCTCTCCCTTCCCCACCCAGCGCAGCTCCGGCATGCAGAAGGCAGAAGAACAAGAGAAATGGGTTGAGAGCACCATGCTTGTCTCTGAGCCCTGCAGGGCTTCTGCAGTGGTGTGGACCGCCCCCCACCCCCACCCCCACCCCGGGCAGGGGTCGGGGGTTGCTAGCCCTCTGACCGGGGGTCCTAGTAGGAAACCCGAGGCCTGTCTGGTTCAAACCCTCAAGTCTCAGGGAGACGGATGCCCGGAAAGCCAGGGAACCCAGCTGGGGGCCACAGGGCCATCCTGCCGTGGAGCTCGGGCCTCTACAAAGCACGCCCCCCCCCCTCCAGTATAGCAGGTCCTGTCCTCCCCGTGCCTGATGGGGTACCACTGGCCACCCCACACGGACTGTATTCTCTCCGGGGAGGATGCAGTGGGGGACTCCCCACCCAGGTGACCGTTGGAGTCTTGGGCCCCTTAACAGAGAGGCCAGCTCTGTGGCCCCAGGGCCAGAAGAAGCCAGCATCTGGGCTCTCCCACATCTGACTCCTTGTCCCCATGCCCAGGTCATCGCTCCCTGGCGGATGCCTGAGTTCTACAACCGGTTCCAGGGCCGCAATGACCTGATGGAGTATGCGAAGGTATGGCTGAGTCCCCCCGCCCCATCACCCCCAGCCCTGGCCCTCCGGGCATATCCCTTCCGAGGGGCTGGACCAGCAGTACAAGGCTAAGGCTGATCCTTATCCGGGGGCGGGGGGGGGGTGTCGGGGGGGGTACCGAATCTCTGTCCCAGCTGCCTCCCCCCCCGTGGCACCTGTCCCCTGGGCCGGCCCCACGGCGGGCGCTGTGGTCACTACCTGGGCTGGGCATCTCCACGGAGAGTCTCCAGTCCGCCAGGTCAGAGGGTGACAGGCACCCCGTGCCTCCCCCTCCGTGGGAGGTGTGAGTGAGGTGTTCTTTGGCCCTCCGTTACCTGGCTGCTAATGGTCCCTGGCGCTTTGCAGGGAACAGGTAGGCACGCTGAGGGGCAGTGGCAGACAAAGGCTTGTGTCGAGCCAGCCCTTTTGAAGTACAAGTTGCAATAAAACATATTAGAAGTTTTGCATCAAGATCCTTAGCCGCTCCCCAGGGCACCTTTCTTTTTAGCGACTCAATGGCAGCTCTTGACAAACAGCCTCAATCAATCAGACGGGGGGGAAAAGCGACTCGTTGCACACGCCAGAAAATTGCTCAGGTTTTAAATAGCAGTCACCAGGGCTGGCTGTGAGCCCTCACCGCAGCCAAGGTGCCGCGTGGTAGGGGACCCGGCGGGGACGCGGCCCTGCCCCTGCCGCCAGCATCCCATTAAGACCTGGAGGGCTTGGAGGAAAGATCTCCTGGGCCATCTGTTGTTTTATTATTAAGAGGGGAGTTTACGAGAGGAAGCCCATATGTTGCCAAACAAATTGTCAAATAGCAGAGCTATTAAGAGAACCGGGTTGACAGGGCCTCCCCTGCCCCCCCTCCCCCCGCCCGCCCCAGCCCTTCGTCTCCTTGATCCTGAATATGGAACACGTTTCATCTTTAAGAATAATGAATTGGAACCCCCACCCCGAACTACATTCTCACGATTGCCGTCCTGGTTCAAGAGAGGGCCAGGGCGACCCCACGCGTGGCCCTTCGTTTCCCTTAAGCCCCACACAAAACCGGCTCCTGGTTTTCCCAGCAAAGATGAATTTCCTTCCCAGGTTTTGGGGGAGAAGTCACTTCACTGAGCTTCTGTCCCCAATAACCTTTGGACAGGAGAGCATGGCGGGGGGTGGGGGGGTGAGGAACAGGCGAGTCTGGGGCCCCAGGCCTTGGGTTCTCCTCCCCCCCCGCCCCTCCACGGGCGGCCAGTATCTGCACTGAGCTCCAGGGAGTCTGAGAGCATTCTGGGAGGGAGGCCGTGTTTCTGCACCCAGGAAATGACCAGAATCACTGAACAGCAACCAGGCTTTGTCCAAAATTCAGAGCCAGGCAGCTGATTCAGCTGAGACAAAAAATCAATGGGGCTTTGAAAACCCCTGCTTTCAAGACCCGTAAGTTACCAAGGCCAAAAGGTGGGGTAGGAGACCCGCAAACATGTGTTGCCTGCATTTTCCATCCAGCCCCCCCAAGCCATCGTCCAAGGGGGAAAACACTCAGAACCACCCGTCCTCAGCATTGTCACCCTAATTAGTTTCTTTTAAAAAGCCAGCGGACAAGCCAGGGGGGGCTACAAAGCAGGGCAGTTGCTGCAATACATGTTGACGAGGGTTTTTTTTGTCTCAGTTGCAGTGAGAATTTCTTTGCGGGC